AAAGAAGCAGACAATCACTAATGCAACGTCTTCCAATACTTATAATAGAAAAAAAGAAAAAAAAATGAGTAGAAAAAAAAAGAAAAAGAAAACGAGCATAACGCATATGTTGGAAGCCGCATCCGAATGAAATATTTGATTGATTCAGAACACATCGTAATTCACCTTTGAAGTGTTTTGCTTCACTGAGCCTCAGGTGACAATTGCTAAAAGACGAAATATTCTATTGAACTATGAGTAGGTGATCAAACAAGAATACAGACAGATCAGTAACAAAAATGAGTAATCTTAGTATAAATGATATGATAATAGTGACTTTGACGAACACTTTTTATTTCGATGATTTGATCATCCATGCAGTCATTATCGAGACAGAAAAATCTACAAGTGCTCGAGGCTTGTTCACAAAACTATACATACATGCAACCAAAAAAAATACGAGGGAGAAAATAAGCAAAGAAACAAAGACAAGAAACGAAATACAGTGAAGGTCATGAACAGAGAGTAAAACTCAAGAGAGAAGTGGAAGAAAAATCTACAACAGAAGACGAAATCACATCACCATAGAAAAATGAATTTTTATTTTTGTGTTGCATGTTGAATCCGATGTTTTTCATTGTTATATCTTAAAAATAGATGATGCAGGCTATGTAAGACCTACAGTCGTCCTTTTTAGGGTCGATTCATCTACGAACATGTCCCAAAACTATTATCCGTTTCAAAATATAATGTCCTTCACTGTGTTTTGAATAACTCAAGAACACAAGTAGCTAGAGACCTGCGATTTTCACCAATCGAAAGAGGAGATTGGGAGACGTCTTTTTCTCCATTAGTGTACAAGAGAAAATCCTTTAAAAACTAATTATTGTCGAAAAACATGTAAAAGAAGGCACGGAAATGACCTGCCATATAGATGAAATTTTGACTTTGACCTTTGATTTAGATGAAGGAACTTCAAATCTATAATTCAATATATAATGCAAATTGGTTCTCTTTATTACATTCTAATGTTGAGCAAATTGAATCATATATTTACATGCGCAAATAATAGAGATTTTTGCTAATTTTTTACTAGGTTTTCTCACTTTTTATCATAATAGCTTGACATTTCGATGGAAATGTAATGAAAAGTAAGAAAAGACATTATATCTTGAATTATAGATTTGAAGTTCCTCCATCTAAATTAAAGGTCAAAATCAAATTTTATCTATATGGCAGGTCATTTTCATGCCTTCTTTTATATGTTTCTTCAAAATAATTAGTTTTCAAAGAATTTCCTCTTATATATTATTGGAGAAAAAGGCGTCTCCCGATCTCTTCCTTCGATTGGTGAAAACCACAGGTCTCTAGCTACTTGCGTTCTCGAGTTATTCAAAAACAGTGGAGTAGATTATATTTTGAAATAGACAATACAAGAACGTACTTTTCATGGTGATCTTCAAACACTACTTGAAAATAATCAATTCGAACCATCAGAGAGAGTATTTCTGGAATTTTTCTTACAAATTATTGATGTCATGATTTATATTATTGACCAAGGATTTGTACATGGTGATCCACGTTGTCTAAATATGCTTGTCTTCAGTGAAAGTTATATGATGAAAACTTACCTAAACCATTCGTATGTAATAAACAAATTTGATCGATCATAGAAAATTATTGGCACAACGAACTACAATTACGATATAATGTTGAAGAAATGAAAATTCGATTTTGGCATATGGATCTTGCACAAATGCAGTGCATTTTATAAGCACTGTAATACTTTGACGTCAAAATCAGAGTAAAAATTTGTTTTCTTTTTCTAGTTTTGATGTTTTAATTGTTCGTTTGTATTTTTTGTATACAATAGAAGATATTCTCTTTTGTATTATGGCTATGGTCGCATGAAGGTCGTGACACAGTACAACTAACCGTATTTTAAAAACTGATAGCTAGGAACAAATAAAAGAAATAACTCATTTTATCTATGCATAATACTCCTCTTATCTCAATTTTTTTTATTCATATCATATGCTTATTGTATTTTGTTTTATGTTCGAATAAAGTATACGTGTACTTAGTAGCTTTTGTTTCTCCAATAGCGATTTGTTTTACTGTTAGTATTCACTTAATTATAACAATAGGTACACATTTATTGACAAAAGGGTGGGGACGAAGAGAAGGCAGATACCCACATTCTCAAGATTTAAAAACAAGAAAGTCTGAATGAGAAGGCTATAAAAAATATTGCATCCACTGTTAGTGTATGTAACAGATTTTGCTGCAATTGCAGTACATTTAGGACTTTCAGAATTTAGACTTCAAGATTTTATAGGATTCCCTAAAATTTCATAGAATTCAAGGATTCTCATCTTTCTCCCTTGAATAGGTATGGATGTGAGTAAAAAAAAGAATCATGTCTCACATTCTTTAAAAGGCAACTAGTTGAGTTTAAAATGGAAGTTCACATTAATCAATGTCTATTCTCCGCATGCTTTCTAAAGTTTAAAATTGCATATTTCTATCCTCTTTTTATTTAAAGATATTTAAAGACCTTCTGATTTGAAAATGAATCATAGTTGCCTCGAAAATTGAAGTCTCCTAGTTCCGTCTTAGTTGTATTTTAACATTATATTAATAAGAAAAATACTACATATATACACATCAATTAAATGCTCACCAAAGTCAGACTTACACTGAATCAAATAAAGACTTCATCTAACTGGATTTCTTAATACCACGTCTCAGTATTACTGATGTATCAGTTCAATATAAATTCTACCAGTGAAGCAAGTCTCAAAGAAGAACATATCAGACAAAAAACCCCATAGTAGTAGTAGTAGATATAGCAGTAAGAGGAACTTTCAACCTTAGAACGCGATCAGCGAGATTTAATAAAGACTTCGTTTTTTAGATTTGTCATGTTTATTTAAATAATTGGATCTACTTTCCGCAGTATATAGCATATTTTGACTGCACCAGAATAAAACCACATTTCGAAGCAGTGATTCTGTTCCCAGCGGTATGTGTTTTTGCTATGATCTTGCCTTTTGCTTTTACTTTCAATGAGAAGCTTTCATTTATCTTCATTTTTAGTCTTGGGTTTAATGAAAAATGAATAATCAAGTTCATAACAAAAAATGCAAAGTATCCTCGAATAAAATATATTAAGAGAGCTGTTCCAATTATTTGGTAATGTGTTGATTAAATTAGAGTATAGTATTCTACAGATCTTTTCCTTTAGTTACAGATATTAGTATCTTCAGCATAAATTGATAATCATATAAAATTGTAACAAAAAAATAGTAAGTTTTTTTTTATAATTTCTTCTAAAACATACATCATATTATCAAGGAGCTGATAATTTTTATTTGGTTAAATTAAAGTAACTTCTACACAATTATGTGACGAAGTTGCAACTTTGTTGATTTTGTTTGACGTAGTGACAACTTCGTCGACTGGTGTAACTTCGATACGACATATACATATATATAAGGCCCCCATAAAAGATTCTGAAAATATTTTTTTTCTGATTCAGCACGAAAAACTGAGTATAAAAGCGGTGTTAAATCATTTCTAGTCCAAAAAGTGTATTAATGTTGGGATACCTAATCCTCTTATCCTGAATCACTGATGAGTCATTTTTGTAATTAATCTATCTAATTGTTTTGTGTAAGTGATGAAGCCAAATATTTTAGTTCTTTTTATTCATCGTACAATGAGTAACAAAAGCATGAATCGATTTTTTTTCTTTTCTTTTCGTTGTCGAGAAAAAAACAAAATTATTATTGAATATTGGGCCAAACAACTAGAATTCTGCCTGTAATTCTCATTTTTCTTTTTCAAAAACCAAGTTTTTATTGTTATATTCAGAATCAACATAAAAAACTGAGTTGATTGATGTAGGTTTCCATAGTTTTTGTGATCTTTCATTTTTTGATCACAATGCTCGCCCTCATTTCAGATAGAAAACTCAAAAAAAAAAGCTGAAGTCATTGAAAACAAAAATGATCTACATCAATCGACTCAGTTTGTTATGCTGATTTCGAATATAACAATAAAAACTTAGTTTTTGAAGAAGAAAAATGAGAATTACAAGCAGAATTCTAGTTGTTTGGCCCAATATTCAATAATAATGTTGTTTTTTTCTCGACAACGAAAAGAAAAGAAAAAAAAATCGACTCATGCTTTTGTCACTCATTGTATGATGAATAAAAAGAACTAAAATATTTGGCTTCATCACTTACACAAAACAATTAGATAGATTAATTACAAAAATGACTCATCAGTGATTCAGGATAAGAGGAGTAGATATCCCAACATTAATACACTTTCTGGAGTAGAAATGATTTAACACCGTTTTTATACTCACTTTTTCATGCTGAATCAGAGAAAAAATATTTTCAAAATTTTTCAACAAGAGTAAAGCATGAAAAATTGTGTAATTCGAAAATTGTAAGTGTTTTTTGGAATAAAAACACCCATCTGGTTTATTCGACTAGTAAAAAGGATTCACAAACGTTAAAAATTAGTTTTTCATGATCAGCAGTTCACACTTGATCAAACTATGTATAAAAAAGCGAGAAAAAATTCAACTTGAATTTTGAATTACGGGCACCTTACGGTTCATCAATTTCGTCTACAAAAAAACTGATCGATTCACTGTCTATGCTCAGAGCTCAGATGGTGATTCAATAGTTGTCAACATTGCTGATTCACACGTGTAAATCAAAACAATAGCCCTGAGTAAATTTTGACAGACATCTTGGTTTACAAGATTAGTGATCGATTATTTTACCAATATTCCTAAAAATAGTGAACATTTTGATTTTAATTATTTATTATTTATCAACTTTGAAACTAATGAAACGATATTATGTGTTCAGAAATGAAAAAAATAGTTAGTATGTAAATAGAGAATATACTACAATGATGGAAAATAGAAAGATATTGAAGAAAATTGAGTTTTAAAGAATAATTAGTCAAGTTCATTTGTGATTACAAGTTGCAGTCAACATTTAACACAGAAATTGTTTTGTACCAATAGCCCAGAGTGGTCCAGAGATGCAATTTTGGTCATGACCATAAGGTTTTCCCTGTTTGTTGTAAAATTGACATGGAGGAACAAGACCACCTTTTTGTAGCGGGTTACCACCGAAATTACCAATCTTCGATGTGGTTAAATTGAAGCCAATTCTTACAGCTGAAGGTAGATTAAAATTTGAATATATTGTGCAAGTGCGATTAGGTGAATTATTTGTGAATTTCCACACCCAATTAGCGCACGTTGTTGGATTTTGACGACATTTGTCATAACAGTCACATGCACTCGTAATATGATTTAATTTGAATGTGTACTGAACAGTATTTGTTACTCCGGTGATATCGTAACCTTGAACGTAACGAACACAATTATCACGACAGATCGGCTTCAATGCTGCGCTAGAAGATGAACTGATTTGGTTTATACCTAGTGAAAAGAGAAGCAATATGATGAAATATTGATCCATACCAAGTACTGAAGTTTAGATCTGAAATAATATCATTTCAAAATAAAAAGATAAGTAATTTAGTTGGATTAGGAAAAGAAAACTACATGGACAATAGAAACAAATAAAAATTGATTGAACAGAGCAGTGAAATACACGAATGTTGTTATGAACTACCACTTGATCATACTCGAGACAAATATAACCATCATATCATCCTCTACTTGTGTTATATTTATGTTTTTTCGTATGTTTCTCCCTTTTTATATATACTTCGCTCGCCTATGAAGGTGAGTAAAAAAAAAGGAATGGGCGTGTCTTATATAGGTTCGATACAAGCAAAACAACATTTATTGAGCATGATATTTCATAACAAACGATATTAATAATACGAAGAGATAGAAAAAGACAAATGCGTGTTTAATCATTATGTAGACACGCCCAAATCATGACTTGCACATAGCAGTACAAATAGACAAAATTATCTTGTTGAATATTACGAGTTTATAATTGGCATTGAATTAAAGGAACAGGATAAAGAAATATTGCACATAATTTATTTGAATGTAGATCATTCTTAACTACAAACAAAATTATATGAAAATTTCAACTGGCAAAAAAAATAATTTTCGATGTTCTTTCTATAATTGGGATGATACGTTTAAATTAAATTGAACATTTCTAATCAATTTGTAATTCCAAAAACGAAACTAATCAATCAGTTTACACGTGTCACTATTATTCTATATCGACAAAGATTATTTCGTTGGAAAGAGCATTTAAAAAATACACAAAATATTTTACATCAGTGTCAATATAGAATTTACTATTGACTTATAAATGGACGTTTTTTCTGCAACAATGATTGCCTACTCTCGTTTCGATTTTTGTTGCTCGTAAACTGACATGACTATCATGTAAAGACATGAGTTTGAACAGAACTTGTTCATCAATCTTATCGTTGTTTCACTCGATTGATCGATCTAACATTTGCGTTATATCGAGTGCGTAATACGACATTCTCGACATTGTTTAGATAACAATTGTTGATCTACAACATGATGTCATGATAGATTTAAGAATAATCAAAATTTCTTATTTCTTTTTACTTTTCGTATAATGATAGCTTAGCAATGAACAATTTTATATTGTTCGAACGAAATCATTATGACATAGAGAAAGTAAGGTGTTCCGAAGAGACAATCATTTCGTCAGATGAGTGAATCAAGATTGTCTCCGCTTGAAGTAGTTAGTATATTAGAAGAATTCAATACAATTTAGATGGACATTTCTGAATGTTTCACCATTAATCTTGTGATCCTATCCTATAGATGAATCTTATTTTTACTTAGACATTGGAAAATCAAGCAGTAAAAAAACTGAATTTTTCATCGATTTATCAAGAGAATAACTGCAACAATTATCAACATTAACCGCGCAGTCGTGGTTCTCTGAAATAGGCATAAAAGATCTAACGCGTAATAGAGAAAAAGCAACTAATCTCCTAGGAAACATCCTCGAATCATCAAGATCTTATCGATTCTGAAGGCAGCAACAAATAAAGTCTTTATAATTGAAGAAAAACAGTGAAATTTAAAGCGTGGCGTTTGTTAAGAAACATTCGGCCACTCGAAAAAATTACACGAACACTGTCAGCAAAAGCACAAACCAAAGAACCTATTCTTAGATAATTTTCGAATTCAATAAGATCGATTTTTGTATCGACGAATCAGTTTAATTTTATTTGTGTGTTTTTTAACGTGAGATTGTTAATTTGCTTTTCGATCGCCGATATTGGAATGTGTCTGTGTATGTGTGATATAAATTTCAAAGAATGACTATTGGAAACAGGAATTGAATACCAAAATAGAAAAATATTGATTGAACGCCTTAAATGAAAAACTATAGAAGAATGACAAAGTATTTTATCACATTGCATTTCGCGTTCTCATGTCGATAATGGTTTGATTGATCATGAACATAGGATCGTCTGCTGTAACGATTACTATTCTTTTACTACACCAACTACTTGCAATCTTCCGTATGTGAGTGGCAGCGTATGTAATATCATAAATGATCAACAAGTATGTCAGTATGCTTAAAGCTACGCGGGTTTCGATGTAGATACAGGGTGATCGAAAAGTCTTGGTATTTATTTAAAAAGTTTCTTTTTCTTCTGTATTACAAATCCAAAAATGTTCTAAGTTGGATCTCTAGTCCCTTATAACTAGATCACTATCATCCTAAATTTTCAAATCTTTAGTCCTTATTATAGGAGAGACACATAGGTTCATTTGATAGAGAAGATTTCTTTTTTTTTTCATGTCCCAAAATCAAAATAGAGAAGGATTACATAAAAAGAACGACATCAGAACGAGGAAATATTAAGAGAATTATAACGAATCGAATTATATCTTAAGATTAATCAGATGTCTATAGTATATTTATTTAAATATCTTTAACTCTGATTGAATGTATATATTAGAATCATTTTTCAACAATTTCTCATTTTGCGATTATTTTTTCGACATTTGATTCTTGACATTTTTATTTAATTCCATCACTTTTACTAAATATTTATGTCTTCAAAAAATATTAAAAAAAAATCTAGACAAGAAATTCTAACTTTACATGATTTGTACCAAAAATGGTCATCAAGGAATATTGATAATGAATTAATAAGATTACAATATTTAATCGACAAAGAAGATTATTCAGTCAATAAAAACGATTGTAATGATTTATGAAAATGTAAAATATTCTGTTGTTTGTAATTGTATTAACAATGAAAAATTAATTATTCTAGACATTTGTTTTCAATAAATTTTTTTTACTCTTCTTTGGGATGTCGAAAAAAAAACCTTCACTATCATACGAACCGATATATCTTCCCTATAATACGAACTAGCGATGTGAATATTTAAGGTAATATTGGTCTAGTTACAAGAGACTAGACATCCAACTTTGAGCATTTTTGGATTTGTAATATAAGAGAAAAAGAAAATTTTCCAACAAGTGCCAAAACTTATGGATCATCCTGTAGCTTTCCTGTTGATATCGAACAAAATCATTCTGTAATACACAAAGTAGCACTATATGTTGTAATGATTAATTCCAAAAGCTACGATAACTTATTGAAATCTTATCGGTATGCAGCAGAATTTCGACTAGAAATAGCACAAACAGTTAGGTTCCATTTCATTTTGTAATTAATGTATACAGATCTTAATATTTGGTTCCTATTATGACAAACAAAATCTTAAGTTGGAACCAAAAATAAAAGTAAACATGCAAAAAAAAAAAAGAGTATGTTTGTCTGGCAAATCAAGAGCTCGACTATTAAAGATAAATGATTCATTTACTCTTTGTTCTGTTAAAATCGTGCATATTTTATTGAAACAATAATCAATTCGAATCCAATAATTGAGAAAAATAAGCAAGTTCAACTTAAAAAAAATCGAACTTTTAAATGTACAGCTCTAGGTTTACATCTGAGTTCGATAGTGATAAGAGTGTTTACATAAAACTACGATAGTCTGGATTCAAATCTGTTGACGAATGTTCTCCAATAAACTGTCCAATTGGTTTCTGTTGTAATCAAGTAGATCAAGAAGACGTTGGCGTGCTTTTTGCACTATGCAATGCCATATGGTGGAATACGAAGCGAAACGTGTTTCCAGTACGGCAATAATAATAGCCGAAATGAGAATTTGAATATTGTTGTTAAGTGATGAGAAACTTGTCAGAGGACTGCCTGTCAATTTTTCAATAATGTTTCCGTCCAACTCCCATACACCATCAAACTTTTGTTTATTGATCAAATAGCGAACAACATCTTGATCGTCGGTTGGCCATGCCTCTTCTTTGTTTTCCATTTTAACATTGGTCTCCTGTGCATCAAATAAAGATCCTCTGATGCTATCAAATGTCCTTGGAGGACTTAAAGAGCTAGATGAATTTGTTTGCATCATCCAATCGTCAGTCGGTGATGGCGAGCGTCTGAATCGATGAACCACATGAGACGATTTTTTCATGAGTTGTCTATGTCTGCACTCTCTCGAACTGTTGGAACACTTCTTCAGTGCATCGGCACGCGGTGATGGTGATCGCGATAGAGCAGCTTTCTTACACATCATTAAGAGCGATTTATCGAAGCTGCGCGATGGTGAAGCTCTTCGTCGTGCAGCTATCGCACTTGGAGCATAATAAGCATTAATCTGATGCCTTGTTTGTAAGTGTTGATCATCGGCTGAGATTTGAATAGGCACTTCACGTAGAATCATTCCAGCATTGCTTGCATCGGTCCGTTTTTCCACTCCGACAAAGGCTGTGTATGGACTAAGAATTTGATGTTTAAGTGACAGTTCGATGATTCGTTTTTTCGTCATTTCTTTCTCATCGTTGATTGCTGTTGATGGTGCAAGATGTTCAAATCGAGTTTGTAACGAACCGATCACATTTTCTTCTGGAATTTTAGCATGTTGCAATTCGATAATGAGTGCTTTGGCTGCCAGTCGAGCAATGGTATCCGTGTTACTTACATGTGGTATACAATCGACTATTGCTTCACCCAATCGATGTTGATCTATATACAATTCAACACTGGAATTATGATCGAATGTCGAAGTTTGATCATCTGTCAATGCATAAAGAATGAGACGATGGTTGGCATAGACTGGTGGCGTTTTTGTTGGAGCACTCAATATTGATGATGTACCCAAATTCCATTTGACTTGAACATTAGTAATACAAGATTGTAGAGCTTTTTGTAATTGTTCGCCAACATAAACATCGACACTGCTCTTAGGTGGAATGAAAACGAAATGACCATTGGTTGTTCGTGCGAGACCTTTGACAAGTGAACGACTTGGTGAATCACCCAAACCAAAGGAAAAAATTCGGGCAAACGTTGACATTGAACGACAAAGATCCAGCACTTCACTGACATTGGATATTTCACCGTCAGTTAGAAGAAAGATTTGTCGAGCTCGACCTTGTTTTGGTGAATGTTGTTGTAGCCATTCAAATGGTTTCAACTAAAATCAAAAGACATGATAAACAAAAAACTGAGAAAGAGATCAAACCTACCAATTCGGTACCACCCATATTTGCTTGCATTTGATTAATTAGTTGTTCAGCTTTTCGAGCATTCTCTTCATTATACACAGCCGTAATCTCATTAAACAATGTTTGATAATTACTTCCAAATTGGATAATGTTAAAATGGCAATGAACTGGAAGACTTTTGAGAAAGAGAATCATGGCTTGACGTGCCAATCCAATCTTGTTCTCACTATCCATTGATCCGCTGCAGTCGATAATAAACATAAATTCATTGGTTATTGTTGTATTGTTCATTAAACGTCGACAATCCTCATCAGTTGGAGTGAATGAAGCCATAACAGCACCCGGTTCGATAGCAACAACGGTATTTGATCGATTTTCAGCCAAGTCAATATCAAGAAGAATATCTCGATCTAAATGAGTATTTTGTTGAGCGAATTCGATAACATAAACATTCTGTTGTCCGACATCAACTTGAATCGAATGAGATGATGAACTAATTCGTGAAACTCCAATTTTATCCACTCGACAGTGAAATTCAATAGTATAAGGACTCAATTGAACATATTTCGATGTGGTTCCAGCAGGAGAACTGATATCACCCTGATTCGGATTGTAACGTGGAGCAATAGTGGTCGGAACAACGAATCGAATCGTTCGACCATTTTGAATTAGATCCAGTTCAGAGACATATGAAATCGTTATGCAGCATTCTTTTCCAGGTGGTAGGGCGCCCACATTGATGATAAAATTGTCTTGTGACTTTTCATCTTGTTCAAGTAAATAGGCACCATGACCTTGTCGAAGAGCATCACTATATTCCTTCTGAGCTTCATTCTTTTCTTTCAGCTGCGCAATAATTTCTCGATCGTCAATGCGTGCTACAAACGCGTAGACAGCTGCTTGTTCTTCGATTGGAAAGCAGTAAACTGCTTCAATTGGTATAGTCTCATCATTGCGAAATACTTGTTTGATAGTTACATTGGCAGCAAAAGATTTCATAGTTGCATCGATATTTACTTGTTTGAGTGGTACATACTCTTGCAATTGTTGTCGATTGTCGATGGAATCCAAGCTAGGTTTAATTCGAAGCATGTTTAGTGAAGTTTATGCGTTGATCCTTACAATGATCATCTATATATATAAGCAGTAGCGAGAGTATGTAAACAAAATAATAAGTCAGTATTGACACAGAACGACACAACATATGTAACTCAAAATTTGCGGAGAATGGTGCAATACTGAGTCATTGAGAAAATGATGGACGTGAAAAATATTGCTCACTGGGATAAAATGAAAGAATCGTGACTAATTCTACTTCCTAATAGAATAAAAGTGTCTGAGACCAAGTGAAATTAAGTGCAGTCCCATATCAACACATTCATTAGCAATCTTGATCATGATCTACTGCAAAAAAACATACCGAAGATCACTTGTACATTTTCTAGCACAGGACATTGAGTGATAGCAGACGTTGTGATATTGCAGTTTGAATCTTACAATGAAGGTGTTTGGGCTGTTCGCGAGAAAAATGCAATCTATTAGCATCAAATGAAAGCTCTCAGTACCAAACTAACAAGGTTAAAATATAGGCTACCCTTGGCCTGTCTTAAGAGAGATATTCAATTTTTACGGTAGTCATTTTTTGTGTATATAGCAACATTAAGATCATTTTGTATCAATTTTTCATAGAATCAACGGAGTATTTTAATGATAGGCTTCGAGAATCTTTTTAAAGCATATCAATAACAGTAAGATGACATTAGCTTTA